ACATTTGATAGCCATGTACTTCTAGCATTGTGGCATTGTTTATAATGGCTACATGAAGAGAGTGTTTGGGCAGTATTCTTGTGGTCATGCTGAATAGACTTGTTCCTACGTGAGGGGTTGATTTTATTGCATTTAACTAAGTACTCCTTAATAAATAATGTTCAAATTTTGGGACTTCAAAAATGACTTCATGACTTTTGTTCATTCTTTTCTTGACTCAGATGAATGTTTCTCAGTAATGGTGAAATCTTGCACTATCTTATAGACTTATATTATCCTCTCACTTCACACTTGCTCTAAATTATCACCATTTTTAGAAGTATTTGTAATCAAAGTTACTTTGGAATTGGCTGTGTATCTTAGGTATTGAGCTTATAGACTTTTTGTAAACTTTGCATTGTTCTGTCTCTACAGGTTTGTGAAAGCCCCTTTGAGTATTGTGATATAGTTACTACAACAGCCCATAAAAGTCTTCGAGGGCCACGAGGAGGTATTATTTTTTTTAGGAAGGGTGCAAAGCCGAGGAAAAGAGGCATGCTTTTGAATCAAGGCGATGGCAGTGATAAGTATGATTTTGAGGAGAAGATAAATTTTGCAGTTTTCCCAGCATTGCAAGGTGGGCCACACAACAACCACATTGCTGCTCTTGCAGTAGCATTGAAACAAGTGGCAACTCCTGAATATAAGTCCTACATGCAACAAGTGAAGAAGAATTCTCAGGCTTTAGCTGCTGCTTTATTGAGAAGAAATTGTAGACTGGTCACTGGAGGGACAGACTACCACCTGATAATTTGGGATCTAAGGAATCTTGGGTTGACAGGTCTGTATCTTACATTTTAGTACTTTGACATGTTGAGGATTGTGTTTACCTTATGTTGTGCTTGTTTGCTTTCGCTGGAGCTTATTGAATAAGAGTCTTTTCTGAAACCTTTGATTCTTCAACTACTTGAAAAAGAGCTTTTTGCCGCTTGTTTGGATTTAATACATGCCTTTTTCTCTTTATAGTGTTTGCCTCACCTCTTGCTTTTTTGAGTAGATAAGCCATGAGCCCCAATAAGCTGTGGGCCTAATGGGCACATTATATGACATGATACTGATATGGGAAATGTTATCAGACTTTTTGGAGTTCACTTATCTTTTGTACAAGACATCTATAGGCTTCTTGTGATCCTCTCAATGTGATTAAAACAAAAAATGGTCTTGTCAAATAAGCTAGATGCCTAGCAGAATGAGTTGTTTTTTTTTTTTTTTTTTTTTTTTTTTTTTTTTTTTTTAAATATTATTATTGGCTTGTTGACATTGAGAGAAAAAACAAAATGAAATATAAATGTTTACTTATGAGTCTAGTTTGATTGAAGTACTAGACATTTTCACCTGGTTTTAGTTTGTGGTCTAGTATTCTGTCTCATATGCTGTTGCTACACATAACACTTCTCTTTGAAGTTTATTGGGAAGTGACATTTTTAGGTTCTATTATCAAACGGTCAACTGTAATTATTGTTGGAACTTGGAATGAAGTGTTTCCTGGTCAGTTCATGATTATAGATGACTGTATATAGTTGGTTTTTTTTTTTTCCCTTTAAATTTTAATCTACCTACCTTTAACCACCTCATTCTTACTGTCCCATTTACTATATCTTTTGAATGGATATAAGCTCTTTAATTTCCAATGCAAGACAAGTAGATCTCACATTATATTAATTCTTGTGAGGCGGTTTAAGTAGGATGGATAATCTTTTTCTTTTTCATTCTGGTAAATTACCACAGTTGATGCGCAACTTTTTCTCTGGCACAAGAGTATAATTGCCCTTTTAAGCTGGCATTTCTCTGTACATTTGAGTCCCATCCACTATGGTCTTAGTGGCATTTGTCCTATTTACATTTATTTCACTCTTATAGATAATCTGAGCACACTTTTTAGTGTTTTGATGATGCCAAGACCACTATGGTCTATACTTTTGTGCCTTGCTCTTAATAGATGGCTGTCAGTGTCTCTGAAAGTTGCAATCAACAACTGGCTTTTTGATAACTTTGCATGTGCTTATTGTACTCTACCTTGCTCTGTTTTGCAGGTAAGAATTTTGAGAAGGTCTGTGAATCATGTCATCTTACTCTCAACAAAGTGATGGTCTTTGATGACAATGGAAGTATAACACCTGGAGGTGTGAGGATAGGTAACTCCCAGTTTCTTCCTATGCTCAGATTTTCATAAACTGTTTTGAGTGTAAAGTTGGTGCATTTGTAATGGTCATTGCTGTTTGTGGTTGCAGGGACTACTGCTATGACTACAAGAGGCTGCATAGAGTCTGACTTCGAGATAATAGCCGATATCCTTCTTAAAGCTGCACATATTACAAATGCAATACAGCGAGAACATGGGAAGCTGCTCAAGGGTTTCTCGAAGGGCATGGAGAATAACAAAGATATTATTGAGCTCCGGACACGCGTTGAAAATTTTGCATCTCAGTTTGCAATGCCTGGACTTGACATATAATGTGGTGCTGGGGACACACTTGCATTCAATGACCGCCCTCTGGTATTGAATGCATCTCGAATCTGTAATTACAGTTGATTATCTATCATTTCCCACAATTGAGCCAGTCAGCCTTTGCACACTTTGCCATGCTTGATTATCCAAAGCAGTGCCACATCAAAGTGTTTGCAGCTGACGGTTAAGTGCCATTCTGATCAATGGCACCAATTTTGATTGTGTACTAGCGGATACGGTCCTGGTCAGTGTGAAACTATCATGGCGTGGCTTTACTCGTCCACCCGCAGAAGTTTTGCAGAGTTTTGATAATGATCCAACAACCGAATCAACCCCTCTCCTCCCATTTCTTCTGCTTAGTATATATAGTGTCATAATATGATATTCTTAGTAATTCATATCCTCTTTCATTATATATAATATTGTTTTGTAAATTACAAAGGGTTGATTTATGTATTCTGAAGTAACAAACGGGTATCCGATCATCTGAAACAAGTTCACCTTTTTTTGTTATTGGTATTTGGTATATGAATTGATTAGCGTGGGAGGGAGAGATGAGAGATGATGTTATGAAACTGAAAAGCGTTGGCATGAGAATCATGATATTTGATTGCTGAAAGGAACAGGTCCAATTTTTGCTAGTTGGAAAGGAGTGAAAAAAGATCAATGAGAGGCCGAAAGAAAATAACAGGGAACAGGAGAGATGTCAGAAAATAGCTAGCTGTTGTTGTTCAGGCACATTATATATACTCGTAGTACTCCTCCAGGCTCCAGCACGGCTTTGGGAACCTTGCTTTTTCTTTACTTTTCATCATATCATCACTCTCATTATTCAACAACAAATACTGACACCCAAAAAATAAAAAGCAAAACCCCACTTTTTATTTTTTGGCCCACAAAGATGAAATACCTTCGACCTGGCTGTCACACAGAGCTCGATCTTGTGTCATTACTTATGAATCAATTGTGTTGTTTGTGTAGACGTTTTTTTGATCTAACTGAGTTGTCTGTGCAGAAAGAGTAAGCGAGAATTGAATTGTTAGAAACATCCGAGCAAGCGATATGATCGAGCCCCTGGACTGGTTGCTAGTTTCACAAGCAGACAAAGGTTCCACAGAGAAAGAAGAAGTGCTTTTGAATTTGTTGGAATTGAAGACGAAGTAAAAGCAATGAATGCCCAGGAATCTCATGATCCCTTCCTTTGTATCTCTCTCTCTCTCTCTCTTCCCATATCGTCCTTCTCCCCGCCCACTTTTCCCCCCTTATTCAGAAGTAGAATGATTAGTCATTTACTATCACAACTCCAAAAGATTCTCACTCACAAATCCTACCACCCCTCATTTTTCTTCATCACCCATTACTACTTGTATCCCAATTACCATTCTTCATATCAACACTTTTTCTTTTCCTTTGTAGTCAAACAAATATCAATACCCGCCCTCGCCCTGGATAAAATTCAAACCCCACATCCTGCTCTAACTCGCTTTAAATTGGCCAACTAGTTGAACTATATTAACATTACCGGTGGGTTTGGTGAAAAGTTTTGAAATTAACCTCCTTTTTGACAGTCCTTTTGTTAAGACCACAGTGCAGCAAAGTAATTATCTTTCCCAGTGCTAGCTTTTTCCACTAGGATCATTTGTTGTTTTACTCTTTAAATTGTACTATGGGAGCTTTGGGTGTCCATGTTTGACCAAACTTCAATACAATTTCCTTTCATCTGATGATAGTGTTGTTTTTTCCCCAACTTTTTCAAGATTTACTTTTGCAATGTAGTCTCCTTCTTAATGCAATTCAGTGTGAATTAGACAAAGAGAAAGATTGTGTTTTGGAAAAAGAAGCCTTGCTGCATTCTTTAAGGCTGACCAACAAAAACAATTACCCTACCCTTCTTTAATCTCTGCTCAAATTATTACACTCTACTAAACCTCTCATTTTCTCAAACACTTTGTGTCATACCTGCAGGAAGCATTATTTCTTTATTTTTTTTTTTTTTACTTTACATTTTAGTCTGCTAATCCCCTTTCTTTTCCCTTGACATAACAAGCATCTTCCACTTTCACAACTCTCACTATTTATTACCACTACCCCCCTTCCTTTCGGTCCCGTGCCTCGTTAACAAATATCAAGGTAAATCTCGAGATATATTGAATCTATAGATTATATATGACCAAGCTAAGCTGCATTGAGTAGTAGTATTACATAGTATGAATATGAGGTTTGTTTGGAACAAAACAGGAAAACATATGAATATGACACTCATTCTGATTCTCATCAATCTGTTATGTTATGACTGCTAGTCATGTCTGCACAACAAGAAGGAAGCATTTCTATATTTATTATATTTATTATTTTACCCAAGCATCTGATCTCTTTGTGTTAACATATTCTTCTTGTTCCTTCTTCAATTCCATGAGATATAATAATATAATAATGTAAACAACCTTTCTTGAAAGGGAGAATCATATTCTTTTTTGGTTTTTTTTTTCCCCCTTTGATTCTTGCACTGAAATTTTTCTTAACTAGTCTTCTCCTTAAAGCTTCTGCAGAGAGTATATTAAGGGGAAGACACAAAGCTTTCACAAGGAAAAGGACATGATTTTGTAAGTACATAAGTGGGAAAAATAAAGAAAAATAAATAAAAACATTTGGTTAAAACTTGGAAAGTCTAATGAAAAACTACTACCCCACCTCCTTTGCCTGCCTGGTCATAATACAAAGTTTATCCTGTGGATACTCTCAGACCGTGATTGAGGGTATTTTCGTCATTCGCCAAGTTTACCCACTACAGACCCTCGAGCACTGATGACAGATTGACGAGTTTACTTAGTGCAGACCCTCGGACAGTGACGACAGATTTTCTTGTCACTCAAAAAAAAAAAAAAAACTACTACCCCCACCCCCACCCCCCAAGTGATTCCTTATACTTCACCTCTTCTTGTCTGTCTACCAACTATGGCTGCCTGCAATGCAATGCGAATCCCTCTTTGCTTTGTTTTTTGTTTATGTTTTTGTGGTTTCTACCGGTGAGTGCACATGTCCAAAAGCATCTTTCTGCCTTCAACTATTTCATCAAAGAAGTCATCAAGTTGGCCAATTATGCTTTCTGCCCCACATTTCAACATTCCAAAGCAATCTTTCAACCTCTCCATCTTCTCCTCATGGATGCTCATCACTTCCCCCCGCGATTCATACTCCATTATCCCGCGCTCCATTTCCGCTTTCACCTCCTCCATGGCCGCCCGAGCTCGCCGGAACTCGTGCGCCATGATCCCCCCGCCGCCGTGGCTCATCTCCGCCGCCGCCACTCTCTGGTGCAGCCTCGCCGCCGACACCATGAACGACGACCCGAAAACCATGTTCCCCTCGTAGGTTGTCGTCGTTCCCCGGTCGTACAAGGTTGTTTCCGGCCAGCAGTAAACCAGGCCGCTGATCAAGATTAAAAGCAGCAAAGAAGTGACGTTCCTCATCGCGTAGAGAACTCCCCGGAAGCCGCTGAAGCCATTGAACTTCGATTCTATCATCAACACGTTTTCGTCGAATCTTAGCGATAATCCCTGCACTCTATTCTCCATTAGGCTCTTGTTCTCCTCCTCCAATACCACTATCTCCCTCTGGCACCCATTGATCACCCTCAAAACCTGCCAAGAATTCAAAAATTACTTAAAATTTTCCCAAGAGCAACAAACAAACACTACTGGAAATTCTGAAGATGTTAAATCAAGTTGAAAGTCTTGTTCCGACCACTTTTGGTATCCGAAAAAATCATTGTTGCTATTTCCGACCACTTTTTGCTTTCAACTGGTCGGAAATTCAATAATTTACAGTAGTGAAAAACTTGTCGTCCCAAAAAACCCAAAAACCCAAAAACCTGTCGGGAAAGCTGGAGGTTAAGAATGCGGTGATCGTGGAGAGAAGAAGCAAGATTAGCGCCGGCGGAGTGATAATTCTCCATGCTAGAAACTGCAGATTTGAGAACATGGCAAGCCTCCCACAACCTAGAGCTCTCATCCATATATTCATCAAGCCATTTGTCGCCGACGGGGAGCCGGAGCTTCTGAACCAGAGTGATCAGTTGGGAGTGGAAAGATCGGAGAGACGACAAGACATGCTGGAGGAAATGGAAGGACATGAAATCCTGGGACAGAAACATGCGATCGAGGTCGTCGATGCCTCTGGTGAGGAAGTTGTAGAAGCCATTGACAGAAGTGGAGGAAGAAGAATGACTCATCATGGGAAGAAGAAAAAGTGTGAAAAAGATTGATGGATATATATATATTTATATGTATATAAATATTGATTGAAAGGTGGGTTAGGGAGTTTTGCAGAGAAGGAGAAGATGAAAGGGAAATAAATAGCTTAAGAGGGCAGGTTTGTATATAAGCGAAAAGGATTGGTTGTTGGGGGCAATTATGTCTGTTTCCTACAGAGTGGAGGGGATGATTGGGAATCTTCCATTTTCATTATGTAAAGGGCAGAAATGATAGGAAAAGAAATTATAATTGTAAAAGGGAAAACAAAAATAATTAAAAGTTTGAGAGAGAATACAAAATTTAAGTCTAACTCAAAAGAAAGAGAGTGTATATATAAAAGCATGATAATTTCAACATTTACTTTAATTTATAGAAAAAAAAAACTCTGCTCAAACTGAGAATACTAATAGACAGCTCTTACGGAGATAGAGTTGAATTTGAAATCTTGTGGTTATCAAGCCAACTGTTTGATTAACTTGGTTGAGACGATTTTGAAAATGTACTGTTTTATAATTTTAAGAATATATGTTAACTTTCACATAAAAAAGGAGGTAACTTGTCAATGTCCAACTACTCAATAATGTTTTAACCAAAAATCATACTTGTCAATGCCTAATCACTCGAGTTTTCGAGTTAGTTTAAGCAAATTAATGAGTTTTGGTATTATTTTTTTCCAAAACACCAGCAATTTAATATAAGTTCGGTGTTCAAAACATTAACAAGAAACAAAGGAGGACGACCATGTCATTCCTCACAATCTGACGTAGAAACGACTTCTCTAGCAACATTATGAGCATCCCGATTCGCATATCACTTAACAAACTGGAAGCTAACATCAATAACTGATCCACAGATTCTTTAATATTATCCTCTATAATAGCACCAAAAGAATCTAAGGAAGGAGGAGCTAAGATGGCACGGAAGACAAGTTGGGCATCCATCTCGGCCTCAAAACGATCCATACCAACTCCTTTAACCAACTGAGGGCTTCTTGAACTCCAACTGCTTCGGCTTCTTTAGACGCGAACACACCCTCAATGATAACAACCTTGATATTTTGTTCTTAGTTCTCGATTGGAGTTGGCATGAGATTACAATTTTAAGAAGATTTGTAGTAAAATTTGCATTTTTTCAATAAAGGCATGTTGTGGGCATGATATTAAGTGGGAAAATCTTCAATCTTTCCTCTTTCTTTTGCAGCTCTTTATTCCATGAAGCCATAGATTTTGTTTCTTGCATTGGGGTGTAAAAGTTTGACTACTTTGACTAAGATTCTTCTTCCCATTCTTCAATTTTGATTTGGTTTCTCTCTGGAATTGAGTGTTTCTTTTTCCAATTCCTTTACAAAAACTTTGTGCCCATGACTGCCCATGTTAACCTACCTCGCATATTGAATACAATATTTAGAAACATTCTTTTTATAAAAAAAAAAAAAACATATTTAGAAACATTTAATCGTGAACGGATAATTAACAATGCATTTACAAACTCTTTTTGAAATACATTGTTAATTATTTTCAAATATATTGTTAAGTGTTTTTAAATGTATAATTGTAATTACAGAAATTTATTGTATTTTTTCTTAATTTTTAATCATTGATATATGATATTAGTTTACACATTCCCATCAGAAGACTAGCTATACTCTTATGTAAAAGTGAAGACCGATACGATCCATTCATTTAAGTAGATCAACAATTACAAGTTGTTAAAAATTAAAGAGAGAATGTGCATGTCAATTTTATAAATATTATAAATTTAAAAATTTATAATAATTATAAAATTAACCTTGTATTTTTTTTTTTATTAAAATCCTTAATAATGAATCTTGATGGATGATTGTGGTCAATCCTATTTTTTTATTTTTATTTTTTTCATTTGGACCATATATAAAGATTATTTTAAAAATTTGTGGTGGGATGTTTAAGGGTATATGAATGATTAGGTTCCTTTGGGTTGGGAATAGTTTACACACATATTTACAACACTTGGCTGCTTTATTGTGTCCCCAGCATTCTAATTTAGGCATTAAAATTCACTTTTTAGATTTCTCACAGTAAGGAATATATTGATTCTATACAACATACAGAGACTACCCCCAAAACCATTATTTGATGGTCCCCCGTACCCTCTATCCCATACAATTTAAAATAATGAAGATAATTTTTTTTGGGTACCCTTCTATTTTATAATTTTTATTTTTTATAAATGTTATATTTTTTATATATAAAAAAAATAAATTGTATATATGAATGACCCGTTTTAAATGAAATTGTCCAATTTTATGAACCAAAAATTCAAGAAACTCAAAGAAATTCAATTTCATTAGTTACAATTTTCGAATTATAGAAGTTTCATATCGACTTGTGCATGATACAGTTGATACTATATGCTATGTAAGAGAAAGAAATGTGTTGATACAAGGAAAAAGAGAGTGAGAGTGGGACATTATTGAAAGACAATGCTAAAGCGATAATATTTTTTGATTGTGTGTACCAAAAATTCATGAAACTCGAAAGAATTTAACTTCGTTCATTAGTTTCTTCTTTTAAATTATATACGTTTCGTATCAACTTGATTGTGTACAATAAGGTTAATACTTTATAACGGGACAGAGAAAGAAACATGCCAGATATAAAGAAAGAGGGAGTGTGTGGGGGCATTATGAAGAAACAAGGCTAAAGGTCATAAAATTATCCAGGTTTTGTGCACAACATCCAAATTCAAGAAACTCAAAGAAATGTAACTTTGGGTACAATTTCAACGTTAAACTACACAAATTTGTATCATCTTGTGCACGATAAAACTGCTACATACTTTATGAATGTGCGGAGAAAGAAACGTTACGATATAAAGAAAGGGGAATCGGAGTGAGTGAGTGAGTGGGGCATTATTAGAAGACAAAGCAAAGGTGATCCACACACCCAAATTTTTTTGTGAAACCTTAGAGTGGTGGCTATATTGGTGGTTAAATAAACTGTGCAGGCAGCAGGGCTCCAGAACCCACAAAATTGAAGAGCAGGGAGTTCTTGGGGACCCATATGATCTTCCAAGAAACTGCTGCAAATCTCTAAAAGGAAGAGGGCACACCAGAATATTTGTTTCACATCACATCACATTTTCTATTTTTATTTTTTTTGGGGTTAATTAGTTGTGAGAGGAAGTAAGGAAAGAGAGATAATGTTGTATCATGGGAAGGATGTGACACCACAAGCAACAACCTTTGTAATGCTGCAATTGGAGAGACTGGTTATCAGTCAAATCCATAGGAGAATGAAATGAGATTTTCTTGCATGGACAGACAGCCCTATATAGTCTTTCACCAACCAAAGTGGTGCTTTGGTGGGCTTCACTACACACATTGCATTGCCATTCCTATATGTAGGGTTGGAATAATGGGTTTGAAATGAAATCTCTTTTTATCCCATTCCGACAGTTGATTTGGTAACCACAATGTTTTAAATTTGACTTTTCGTAGAAGCTGTTTATTAGCCCTTCTTGGTTTGAGCTGAATATTTATGGACAATCTAGGTTAGTCTGCCTCTTTGTGGTCCTTTGCGGGCTAGAGTCATAAGGCGAACTTAATCTAGAGCTCACATTCGAGTAGTACTTTTCATAATTCTTTTAAAAAAGAAGCTTTAATTTAGTTATTGCTTTGAGGCCTAACTCAACTGGTTGGCCAATTTTAAAGTTATTAACTTTACTTCGTTAGCAACAATAGGGTGTAGCTAGGGCATGGAATTTGCCCTATTGTGTACGTGCACCAAGCCCTCGAGGTATATGCAGTTTGAAAAATTTATACACGGTTGAAACAGATTACGCGATTTACCCTTTCACCAAGATTTTGTACGTATTTAAAGCTTATTCTTTTGTATTTTTTTGTTGTATCACAAAATATTACAGAATACAAGCATTTTGCCCAACAGATTTCAGGTCCGGTCAGTAGGCCCCGTGAATCCGTGATCGAGTGAGGTGCAATCCTAAGAAAGTTGTAGGTGTCAGTGCAATGAAGAACGGTTTAGCTGTCAAATGAGTGCTCAAAACCTCATGGCTAGCTAGGTAAAAGGAGGCTTGATGCAGGCCATGATCCTTAAATGTTCTTAATTAGTACTAGGGTGTACAGAAGCTGTACAGCCAGCCTATCAAACGTTATCACAATGTCCTGTCCTTGATAGATAGGATGCACTATCTACAGGAGCTTTGCACTTGCTGGGCATCATATGATGCCCAGACACACACAACAAGGTTGAACAGACTTTTGTGGCAACTTATATATAGGTTAGTGGAAAATCAAAATCTGGGCGATTTGTTGCCTCGACAAATAATGTTTTGTTTTGGCAACGTTATTCCCTCACTGTTTCCATGTCCTATCTGGATTTTGTCAAGATCCTTTATCATGTGCAACTACTACTACTACTACCTCTTCTGTACTGGATGGATGCAATTCTCGGCAAGGCAAGAGGGCTTGGCTTTGGGCACTTGGTTACTTCATTCATTCCACTTTCGTTAATTCTCTTGGGAGAAGGGATGTATACAAGTTTTGGTTTGGTTGGTTTCTCAATGTTGACCAAACATATTTTTTTGTAATGTGGCTTGTCCGCTCTTCATAATTAGTTAATGTGATTCTTTAGGCAACCAATAATTGTCCCATGGCACGTTACACCATTTGTCCATTTATGTGTCTAAGGAGTATGCTTTTTAATTGAGTGTTTTGGTTCGCCCACCCGTGGGATTGTTAACCATAAGGTTTCAAGTTTGACGCTTAGTGGGAATTGTATCTTTTTAGTTTGAGACAATTAGTTATGAGTAATTTAGACTGGTTTAGTTCATTGTGGCCATTTGTTGGTTGACATCTTTTTAGTTTGAGACAGTTAGTTATGAGTAATTTAGTCTGGTTTACTTCATTGTGGTCATTTACTGGCTGGCTGGCTGGCTAGAATTACAAGATAGACTTTACCCATGACGCATTTTTAGGTAGTAATTGCGGGTTTTTCCATAATTCATGGGAGATCTAAGGCCATCCAAGAGAAGACCGGCAAAAAAACCTAAATGCCTAGGCCACCGCCAAAAAAAAAAAAAAAAAAAAAAACTATGCAGACTTCATTCAAAGCATACATTCGAGTAACGACGATAGGATTTTCCGTAGGTCATTGAGAAAAGATAAAAGACAGATGCCCATCACAAAAATAACTCGCTCCTATGTGTTAGTCAACACAAAAATTCGTTTTTTCTAATGTATGTGTCTAATGTAAGCTCCAACTTCTACCTAATAGTTTTTGTATAGCAA